TTCTCCCTTTCTGTCTCTGTGTGTGTGTCTCTCCAGTGAGTGCATGCGCCCGATAGCAAAAATCTTTCTTAAAAAAAAAAGGGGGGGTGGGGCCAGCCCACGGTGTGATAATTAAGGTAGTGGATTCCACATGACTGAGTACAGTTTAAGGTCCTGGACCCAGCAGCCTGAAAAACATGCTGGGGTTGGGGGGTGGCAACAGGTGGCATAGTGGTTATATTGCTGGACTTTTCTTTTTAATGTTGAGTTGTAAGTACTCTTTACATACTCTGGATATTGTTACCTTATCAGCTATATAACAATCTTTCCCAGTCACTCGGCTATCTTTTCATTTTCTTTATAATATGCTAAACACGAAAGAAAGTTTTAATTTTGGCGATAGCCAGTGTATCTATTTTTCTCTTGTGTTGCTTGGGCTTTCAGTGTCGTATCCAAGATATCTATTGCAAAATCCAAGGTTAGGAGAATTTTTCCCTATGCTTTCTTATAAGAGTTTTACAGTTTGATTCTATTTAGGTCATTGATCCATTTTTAGTCAATTTTCTTTTTCTTTTGGGGGGGAGAGTTTTTTGCTACAGGGCACGTGCACTTGCCAGTGAGAAATAACCCCCCAGGGAGGGATGGCCACGTCACTGGGTCTAGGATGCGAACTACAATAGGCCCCCACTACAAGACTGAATGGAAGTGTTCAGAGTAGACATCTATGTCTTTTCCTGATCTTAGTGGAAAGCAAACAGTCCTTCACCAATAATTATGTTGGTTGTAGGTTTCCTGTTTTTGTTTTTGAAACTCCCAACTACATGGGAGTCCAGCAATGTAACTATTATGCCATCTGCTGGCCTCTCCATATGAATTTTAGTATCACTTTATTCATTTCTACAAAGAAAACAGAGATCCTGATAGAGATTGTGGTGAACCTGCAAATCAAGGAGCCATCTTAACAATATGAACTCTCATGACTTATGAACATGGGAAATCTTTTCACTTATTTAGATCTGTAATATCTTTCAGTATTTTGTAGTTTTCAGACTGTTTTGCATTTCTTTTGTTAAGTTTATTCTTATTTTAGGGGCCAGCAGGTGGTGTGTTGGTTGAGGTGCTGGGCTCCCACTGGGTCAACTGCAATTTGATGACTTGCTTTCT